AGGGAAGCTAGCGCGAGAAACAGTGCAGCGAACCGCCGCAGTAGAGGATGCGTCGAGAGTAGGGAAAGATCAGACTGCAGCGCTGCTAGGTCTTGCGACTGCCGTTTGGCTCGTCCTCCTCCGTTGGCAAAGATATGGAGCTAATAAACTGAGTTTATTTTAATAACGTTGATTACAACATGTCACGTTACGACTCAGCGCCCCTTGCGGTGTCGACGTTGCATCGAGTTCTACGTCGTTGACAGGCTTCTCTAATTCTTTAAGGTCGCCGTCGATGGCTCCCGCCGCATGTACTGCTCTTCCTCATCGTCAATGTCTCAGTCCTTGTCTCAACTTCCGGCTTCGCTAGGGCCCGCTCGTGAAGGACTCCTCCGCTGATGCGTCCACTTGGCTGACTGGTGTGGGTTGCTCTCTTCCTAATGCGATGTGGGGAAGCTGTCTACCAGGAAAAGCTGGGCAGGATGCAGCTAGTCCAAGCAGCCTCACTCGGGACCATCTCGAGTTGACGGCCACTTCCCGGGCCCCTTTACGCCGACATCCTTCAGTAATGGGCAGTCATGCTACTTCCGTCGCAGTAGCAAGGCTCTTTTCTCCCGTCTTCACAGCTCGGAGACCCAACACACAGCGCCAGCTCATCCTCTGGAATTTTTCTTTTCGGCTCGAGTCGCGTGCCACGAGCCTTTCTCCGACCAATCTCCTGCATCTACGTGACTGGTGCGTGCTCTCGGGTGACTCTCCTCTCCTCGTGCACCGCCGTGCCGCTTCCCTGTTCGGCACGTGCCTCGTGCCTCTTTACTCATCACACCTTAAAATCAAAGTGCACAGCTGCTGCCCGAGCGGCTCCTCCTTTCCCCGATGTCTTTTCGTGCTCTGTCAAGATGGGCAGTGTGTTTCCTCTCTGCTTGAGCATTTGATGGCAGGTCTAACATGCGGTGGGATGCTATTGGGCGCGAGGCCCACCATTGGAGGCGCAAGCGCTGCAATCACTGTGGTGTGCAGGGTTGGATCACGGAATCTCGCATCGCTCTGGGGAAGGAAAGCTGGCGGTTGGATGTGTTGTTCTTGGCCGCGACTTCACGGTGTTTTCATTTTTGAACAGGGCTGTATTGCTCTGACGTATGGTGCACAAACTTCTGCAGACTACACAATGCGAAAAGTTGTCGGGGGCGTGCTACAGTTCGCTGCGTACGCGATGCCACTGTTACAGCTGCTGGCAGTGCCACTGTTACCGCTTTCTTTCTTTATTGTGGCTGTTATTTCGAGCCCATGAGCACAGACTGATGTTTACATAAAAGCAGATCGTTTCAGTTTCCGCACGGGAGCCTCATTCACGACGCAAAAGGAATGTGCAAACGTTCCGATTATGTATATTTTAAAATAGGACGTAGAAGCGTACATGTGCAGGAAGTTGCCATTATTACATTAAAAAATGTGCGCCGTTGTCTGAATTGTCAGAGAGTCAAGATAGCCCGCAAGTCCAATTCTTTTCCCTTTATTTGCGCTATTTTTACCCTATTTCGGTTTATTTTGTGACCAGTTGCTTCAGCGTGTTCGACCAGCACGTTCGACGAGACCTTCTTTCTTACATCATACATGTGCCAGTCCAGTCTTTGCTAAAGCTTACTTCTCTTGCCAAGGTAACCTTTATCGCAGAATGCGCCACCCCCATCCTCCTCCTCGGTCGTCCGTCGCCGTGTGTGTGCCCGACCCCACGGATTTCCATGCGCCAATGGTGGCGTAGCCAGACCTTCCCCCCCCCCCCCCCCCCCCAAAAAAAAAAATTCATGGTATCTGTGCTTTAAGTAATGGCCCCATCCGGAAAAAATTTCTGCCTACGCCCCTGCCATCCACGACTTCAGCTCACAGGTTCAATTCATTACTTATAGGTTACTTCTGTACAACGGGCCGTAGCCACTGTCACTTCCTCTCAATGTTTTGATCTACAGGCGAAAAGGTTGTCAACTTTGGAAACTGATTCATCTTCTAAGAGCTGCCATGAAATATTACACAGATTATGAATCAAGCTGCAAAGAGAAAGAAAAAAAAACTGAACATTGGCAGTTTTACTAAAGCATGAAAGTGCCGTTTAGATCACGGTACGCAAGACCTCGCAGCATGCACGTTCAAAGCCACCAAACGATACGGCTGGTTGGTCGCATTTTTTATCATGATTTACCTTTTTATAGAAGCTCGGTAACTGAGCCAATCATTCATAATTTTTACGCATGCGTGGTTTGATGGCGATCGAATGTGCAACATGTGACCATCATAGAAATTTTGCGCATTAGATATTAGGATCGTGCCACAGAGAAAAGTTGCAACTCTGAATGAGGCACGCGCGTGCGTGATTCTCTCATTTGCCCGCAGTGATAACAAAAAGGTTGCGGCTGCATGCGGCTGTAATAATGCTGTGTTGCTTCCCACAAATAGTGGAATCGACTTGCACTATGCTTCGTAGGGCTATGTCTGCTAAACAAAGATGCAACTTGCGCATTCTTGCCATGTCAACCACGGCCCCTTTATAGATGCAAACCTACAATGAATGAAGTAGCGTGGTTGGACACATTTCTTGCAGCAAAGATAAGTTTCTTTACCGTTAATACCTATTTTATACTTCAATTCTACACGGAATGAGTTGCGATCTTTTACAGAGGCGGCACGCTCGGCCCCTGTGGTTTTCATTCAGGTGGTGATAGCACACGATGCCAGCAGTCAGGCATTATGAAAGCGTAAAACTTTTCCAGGGCAGTTATTTAGCTCTTCGTACAGTCAGGGAAGAAGCTGCGGCAGTATTTTGCTGATTTCGTCTATTGAAGTACAACAAAAAATAATAAAAAGAGAAGACACGAAAGCGGCTGAGGGCTGTGCGCGAGAGGTCGTCTGAGCGATCCAACCACATACGTCACAGGGACGCCTCCGCATGGTGGCGCCATTGTATGTCCTCATGCCCAATATCGCCTGCGCTCTCCGAGTGACTGAGATTGGCCGCCTCATCTAATCTACTTGAGCAGATCTCGTTGCTCCAGCTCGCGCGATTTAACGCGCGGGTGGGTCGTACGATGCGCAGGAATGTTACAAACTTGGAATTCACGCGGAACATGGTGGCGATGACGAAAGCCTATGGTGTGTCCATATATTTCCTATCATAATAAAGAATTTTCTAATTCATTGCCTAGCAATGGTGTGGCTAGCTCATCTTCCTCGTAGTTCTCATGTTGGCTATCGCACTTCAATGACAGGAATATAGTTTTTTTACATTTATTTTTAAGAGCTCTTTTGGTTTAGTATGAAAGTAACTTTTATTATATTAGCTCATCTCTAGTCTTGAGTTTCTATTCTTGTTGGATGTGGTGTATTGATGAGATTTTGAGCATTAAAATATTTAAACATTAAAGTTTTCCATTCGTCCGAGGTCTAGTAGCTGTCCACAGCACCACTTACGTTTTTTCTTTGAGTTGCTGAGCTTTCAGCTTTGATGTTATAAGGTTTAATATATACTAATTTGGGTAAGTCTGGTAGCTTCATCAGCATTGCATGCTTAGTGAAATTCTCTGAATTTTTTTGTGTTCACCAGGAACCAAAAATTTTAATTAACAGGGATGTGTGACCTTGGAAATTTGCTCCAAACTAAATTTCGATGCTACAAAACATCTTTTAGTGCTCTAGAGCTACTCCAAAACTACTTACTGCTCCAAAGCTGCTCTAAAACCGCATTATTCCTGCTCCCAGGCTGCTTCAAAAGGCTGAAGCCCGCTTCCACCCCTGGGTAGGTGATGATTTCAGATGTACAATATGCTCGAGTAATTTACAGATTGTGTAGGTTAATGAGATTAAATGATAATGAAGAGGCAACTGATCACCTGATTTGAAGACATTTTGCCTATGTGCCAGTCATCGTGGATGCGACCGGCCAATAGTTATCACCATTTTTTCAAACCCTGGTGGATGCATCCGAAAACGAAACACAATGTTTTCGTTTCTACAGCACCTATCATCTCATCATAAATTTTTTCATATACACACTACGTAATGCAAAGTTATCCAAGTACGTTTTAAAGCTCACAGAACATCACATTCTCAATTTATTTTAAAATTTTTCCTACTTGATCGGAGCACTCCACTAGCCAAATTGCATGCATTTTCGTTCAGCAGTCAGTGGTGTTTTCTATGTCATTTCGAGTTCTCGGATTTTGTTTTGGCTGTTTAAAAAAAAGAAGAAAGTTATGATATTCCATGAAACATGGCAAAATATGGCACAAAAAAGAAGCATAAATGCAAATAGCCATTCGGTATGCCAAGCGTGAACCTGTTGTGGAGCACGGGGAGTAGCTATAAGCCTGGTGAATTTCAGGTGTATTGAATGTTTTTTTGTTTCACGAACATTTAATTCAAATTTTGAAAGCCATTATTGCCAAAACATGATTTTTTACATCCTAGTCTTACGCGAACAATGGTAACTCTGCTTCTAACCAATATTTTCACGTAAAGTTTTGCGTGCAGAATCATTGATAACAAGTGGCAACTTTTTGTAATATGGCAAACTGCGTTCAAAACAAACTTGCCAAATACCAACTTTTTCCCTATTTTTATGATAACACACCTTAACTTCAAGATACGATGGTCGTAGAGGCTGGATGCCCTGGGTGTTGTCCTCGCAACATAGCTGCCAATTCACGTTTGAGTCGCACGAAAAAATTTTTGGTTATCACTGTTGGTGGAACATGCATATTTTAGCACTTATTGATTTTGATAAATATTATTTTTTAGATTTTTAACTATTTTATCATCTTAATTTAAAAATTTTTCAAAGCCCTACAAGTAAAAGCCATAATTGTAACCTTTGGATTAAAACTGAAATTTTTTCTTGAAGGTGTTCACCTATCTTACTGTATGCATCTGGTCTTTTTGTGCTATGAATACAAGCCTACTAGCCCACCTCACCGCTTAGAAGCTGGTCTCTTTTTGTGTGCATGTCAAGTGTACTGCTTTGTTGTGTGCAGCGGACAAATACGTGAAGGCCAGCAAGGAGGCTGATCGGGACACAGGCGCCCCTAAGATGGTGCATGCTAACCCTCTGGATGACCTGGACTGTGAGTGTGTGGACAATCGTTCGGATGGTTTCCCATGTGTGCACGGTACTGTTGTGCATGCGGTTCTCCGTTGAGCAAGCAGGCCTCCTGCCACGCTCTACCCCATGTGACATTTTCGTAGCTTGTGTGGCAAGTAAATCGCAACCACTGCGGGTACAGGCTGTAGAGGTGAGAAGTTATTGCAGTAGTCAATGCTTAACGGTTTCAGACTGCTGTATTCTTATGTGATCAGATTATGTCATGCGGTCACTAGTGATTGGATTGTAACAGTTAGAAGTAGTGACGCTTGTTATAGCGCGAGCTGAGATCGACAACAAAGGGACAAGAAGACTAGTACTAGCTTCCCACTAAAGTCATTGTGCAGAGTGCAAAAACATGTAAAGGAGACAGTAAATCATGTGACAAAAAAAAACCATGTGACAAAAATGAGCAATGCAAAGATGAGTAAGGCAGGAAAGACAAAAACCAAGAAAGAATTCTAAGAAAACGATACAGAAAACTACAGAATGTGACGTCCAAGTGACTCAAGTTACGACACAAAAGCTCAAAGGCCGTCTCGTAAATGTGAAGGATAAGTTGGACAGACACAATTTTTCTGGTGTAGTATATAAAATTCCTTGCAAAGACTGTGAATATGGATGTATTGGTGAGACAGGCAATTACAAATGAAGGCTCCGGGAACACTTTAATGATGTCAGGAACAAGAAAGTGGCTTCTAATGCCCTCGCAGAACATGTTGCGTCTAGTGGGCACGCTATTGACTGGGATAAAGCCTGCATCATTGCGACGGAAAGAAATTTGTTACCATGATTGCACATGGAATCTCTGGCCATTCAAACTACTGCGCATACGCTGAACAGAAATATCGGGACACTCCCCCCTGTGTACGCGCGATGTCTGCAACACGTGATGAAACATTCATAAGAATAGCCCAAAGGTCTCTTTAATTTTTGTGTATTTTACTTTGGTCAGCGTTTTTTATTGTTTTGCACTATAAAAGGATTATCACTAGTTGTGTGTGCCGATACTTTACAAGAACCTTAATTCCTTCTGGGACAGCGACACAGAAGGCTTGCTAATGCATGAGTCCTGTTCATGCAGTACAGCCGCACTGCCAGCAATGACTGTACAGCTCAGCTGTACAGACGCACTGCCAGCAATGAAGGGCAAGATGTGGAGATAGTGTACCTTTCAGACAGCTAGCATGCTCCCTTAAACGGACGTTGAGGCAACGCCTCATCTGCCCAATGTATGTGCACCCGCATGACAAAGGGATAGAGTACACCACTCTGCTCGCACAGTCTGTGAAACATTTAAAGTACTTTATAGAGCAACCTCACGCAGTGGGTGTGGCTTTGGATTGGCAAAAAAAGTTCGTCGTTATCCTATACCTGCACGTGTCACATTGTCTGAGAAAGGTGGCCAGTCATCATGACATAAACACTCTCTTTTGTGCTGGCAAGAAGCAAGGAAGCGTGTGTGAGAGTTAACAAAAGAGAGCAGAAGGAGCAGGCCATTGTCAGCGCTGAAGGTTGTGTGGTGTTGTGTCAGTTTTGGTTTCAGTTCGATTGTCATGTGGCACCTCGTGCAGCAGTGATATGCATCATAAGTATATATGAGTAAATAAAAGAAGTTTATGATGAGCACTGGGACGAGGCAAACGTTCTCTTCGGCACTCTGCATCTTGTCGTGTGGTGGCTCTTTGGCGTGCCACCACACGACGAAGAGCCACCACACGCCTCTTCTTCCTCTTCTTTGGTGCTGGGGCCGCCAAAACACAACACAACAGGTTGCCTTATAAAGCACTCTAAATGTTTCACTGACTGTGCGAGCAGATTGGTGTACTCTATCCCTTTGTCATGCGGGCGCACATACATTGGGCAGATGAGACGTTGCCTCAACGTCCGTCTAAGGGAGCATGCTAGCTTTCTGAAAGGTACACTATTTACACATCTTGCCCTTCATTGCTGGCAGAGCGGCTGTACAGCTGAGTTCAAAAAATACCACTGTGTTGATGAGGCGTAAAGACCAGCGCATGCGTGAAATTGCTCAAGCGTATGAACTCATAAAAGCAAGAGTCAGGTGTGTGATCGAGCCTTCAATCGCTTTTACAGATGCTGATATTTCGTATCTACAGCATACTTGATTACCGTATTTACTCGATTCTACCGCGCCCTCGATTGTAACGCGCACCCGATTTCCACCGCGAAAAAAAAAAAAAAAACGTAAGACATCAATTGCAACGCGCACCCATTTTTCTCGCCGGCCCGCACGATCACACCACTCGAAAAAACGACTCCTTTCGGGAGCGTATTCTATTTAAATATGAGGGACGGGCGAAGCTTGTGCCCATCTGACGTGTAACAGAGCTTTCCGTCACGGTAGTTTTACCGTGGACCGATGTCAGCACGCGAACTTGCTTCGCGCCCTTCTTCTCGACGGTTGTGGTGCCAGGCATGTCGAAGTAAAGAGGCGTCTGATGGGCAATCCCGATTTGCCCAAGCAGGTAGCCGTTGTTGCGCCGCAAGTTTAGGACGAACCTCTGAAAACTGTGAAGCTTTTCATCATACTCCTCCGCAAAACTTTTCGCATATGCATGTTCCCTTCGGAGGGAAAAGCCTTTCCTCTAAATAAAGTTAGTTAGCCAGCACCTGCTCGCTTTAAACTGGCTCTGCATTAGACCTTTTTCTAAGACTGATTGCATAGCCCGCACTTGGAGCAGTTCTGTCGTCACGGGCTGCTGTGCCTGCCGCTCGCTGCTCAAGCACATACTTGCCGAGCAGCTCTTTAATTTGCGGAAACCGACCCTGCTGTGGTCCACTGAAGCCTTTGCGTGAAGCTTTGCTGTCGAGAATCTTCTGCTTTTGTTTCCGCCGGTCCCGCACGCACGTTTCGGGAACTCCGAACAACAGCGATGCGGCCCGATTTCCGTCCGTTTCTGCACACGCCATAACTTTTCTTTTAAAAGCGGCATCGTGGTGCTATCGAGTTTTTGGAGCCGGCCCTTCCACGCCGTCGATGCTAATGCACTACTAGATGACGAACTCCTCAGCACACGTACGAAGTGCCGCACATGGGAAACACATAGGCAGAAATGGCCGACGCGCCATGCCGACGCACGTAGGGGGGGGCGGCCATTTTGGATTTGCTGATGGCAATAGATTGACCGTAATTTTTTTGTTTGTACTCGATTCTAACGCGCATGCAATTTATAAACTCGCTTAACCGGAAAAAAGGTGCGCGTTAGATTCGAGTAATTACGGTATGTACTTGGGGGGTGAAGGTTTTTTTTTTTTATGCCTTCATGTTTGCATATAACTATATGACAAGTTTCATCCATTAAACTTTCAGTTGTTAGAAAGCACTTTTGTCATGCACTTTCTTGTGTTTTTCTGTGCTTTTTTTGTGCACTGATCGTGATAGGTATGTTGCAACTAGCCCAATTTGCTACTTTACTTCAGGCATAATATTCCTAAATCGAAACACTGCAAACACTTGGCAGTGTTGAGGTACTTGACAGTCTACTCACTCATACTCTAATCGAGCAGTGAGTCTGAGCGAGTACAGACGAGTAATATTTCGCGAATGTGAGGCCGAGTGAGTCCAGTTGAGGAAAAGTTTGGCGAGTCCGAGTCCGAGTGAGCCCAAGTGAGTCTAAGTGAGAGGTTAACTTTTTGCCGATATATGGTTCTGCTTGCTCAACTTGCGCATTATTATCAGCCTTACGTTGGTAGGCTCACGTTTATGCTCACATCAACTCAAGCATACTTGAAAGCATGACTGATGAGTGTTCGTATGCCTGCTCTCTATTTATTGATCAGAGGTGTGAATTATTAAGGAGAGGAGGGTGTGACCTCCCCTACATCCAAAAACCCTTTCTCAGAAATTTTCAATGAGAGTCATGTGAGTCAATTAAGAAGTGCTTACTGGATCTCGTACTTGAACATTCGAAATCAAAGACACCAAATGTAGCACCGATTATGCGAGATAATAGTAGTGTTAAACAGTCAGACTCAGACAGTGAGTCTGATTCTGAGTGAGTCTGGCTGGGAAAAAATTCTCGTGAGTGAACTCCACGTGCTTGACCGATCTATGCCTACAAGTGGCATGAGCCGGTGCGTCTAAATCTCAAAATTTGTGGCTTAGCCGTGTCCGTGGAAAAGGGGATCTTGGGGGTTGAGCTGATGCTGTTTGCTTGGACCTTTAAAGCCCCCCAGCAGAGGCAACACTCCCATTTGGCCCCAGCTTCACGTAGACGATTTCTCTCACACTTTTCACAGAGACGTTTTTCTCTCACACTTTTTATCTGTCCTGTCATCTTCTCTTTTCTGTTTACTTTGAAATTTTCTGGCAATGAGGGTTACAGCAGCGATGCATGGCTAGTGACTCCAAGTGTTTGTTATTCAACCTTGTAGTGTCCCCTTGTTGGGCTTGGGGATGGGTAGCCTCCATTGCCCCCAACTTTATAGTCTTCGTATAGCAAATTCTATCCCCCCTCTTCCTGATTGCTCCCTGAAAAGTTGGTGCACTGAAAAACCATTCCTGCTAAACACACCAAAGCTGACCTTCCCAAAGTACCATGTTATCCACAGCCAGAACGAAAAGAAGACAGTCCGAGCAATTTCCCCTTTCCTTGTGTCGAAAACTCTCATAGAAGCGATAGGTCTAGGTTATCAAGTGACAAAGATGGGAAGTGGCGATCTTGTTCTGGAGGTTCGTGAGATTGTCAAGCTGTCTGAACTTGCGGTGTTTGGAGAGACCCCTGTTTCAGTGGGCCCGCACAGGTGAATGAATACTGTCCGTGGCGTAATTTCCGATGATGATCTTCTTGAACTTTCTGAAAGTGAACTGTTCGAAGGTTGGCAGGACCGGAATATAGTCAAGGTCTAATGGATAGCAATTAGGCGTGACAACAAACAGACCTCTCCAAAACACATAATTATCTTTCGAACCAGTGACCTACCAGAATCAATAGAAACCGGCTATTGTAAGCTCCTTGT